CAAATGGCTTTGAACATCCCCATGGGGACTCAATCAGTACCCCTAGGAGCCAACTGAGTCAGTCAGTACCCCCAGGAGCCCCCCAAATGGCTTTGAACATCCCCATGGGGACTCAGTACCCCCAGGAGCCCCCCCAAAATCTGTGACATGCCACAGAAACCCTCGTGCTTTCAATCATTAATGCCTCCACAGCCTGTTCTCCCACAGCAGCAGGAACACAAGGGGGATTAATAGAGGGAGGATTTGGATCTTTTTTGATGTTTAACCCCAGGATTTGCTGTCCTGCTTGTCCTCAACCCGGGAATTCCTTCCCTCAGGAACGAGCAGCGCTCTTAACGAGCTCCTAATAAACCTCCTCTCAGTCAATAACACAGCAGAGGTGAGATGAAGGTTTGGGAAGGTCTCAATTTCAGCAAACCAAGCTCCTCAAGTGACAAACACAAGCCCCCCCCCTCTCCCTTGGTCTTTGAAACACTCAGGGCAGCCCCCTGCGTTGGGACCGAGCTGTCTCCACGCAGCTCCCCGCATCCCTCCCCAGCTCCCCTGTGGATTTCAAGACACAACTCATGCAGCGTCTGTTTTGGGCAAGAAGTGAGTCATGCAGGCACCAAACCTGCCTCCTCCCAGCTCCCCAGAGCGAGCAGAGCCCTGGCATCCTTGGGGGCTGCTCCTCAGGGAACGGGGGGACACGGTAACCCTGCTGTTGGGATCACCGGCGCGACGTCGGCTCCCCGCAGTGCCACCCGTGGGGGTGTCTGGTGTGGAGGCAGCAGCTCCTGGGGTGATGGGCATGGAAAACACATCACACGTGGGCTGACAGACTGCTCAGGCTGTGGTGTTGGGGTCTTGGTGGCTCTCAGAAGAGCCTGAGATCGTTACCCAAAACACAACCTCCTCTCCTACCCGCTCTGCTGCTCTTCTCTGTCCTCCACCCGCATCCCAGTGCCTCTTCCCTTGATTTCCCCCCCTCCATACTGGGCAGCTCCCAGTAGGGCTCACACATCCATGAAGTTGGGGATGGGGGGGTTATCCAGGAGGAACACAAACCAGCCAGGGGACAGGCACGGTGGCAGTCACGTCCCCCTTGTCTGCAGGCTGACAGAGCCCCAGCTCGTGGCCTGCTGTGCACACACACACACACACACACAGGCTGTGACATTGCCACGCGTCACCGAGCAACGTCCCCTGACGTGATGGGAACTGACATGAAGCTGCTCTGGCCGAGGTTTCTGCCTCTGCAGGATGTGGCAGAGCCAGAGCTGGAGCTTCCAGCCAACATCAGAGCAAGGTTGTGGCTTCAGAGTTGGCTCAAACATGGTGTCTGTGGAGTCAGAGAGAGGTGCCACTCAACCCCTCCGTGTCCCAACCCTCTGTCCCCACCAGCTCCACACATCCCTCGTGTCTTGAGTGAGTTCTAAACACTTTCCCATCCTTCCCCCCCACTCTTCCCCCAGGATTTATGACCAGAGGAAAATAGATGAGAACGAGAACAACGGCGTGCTGAAGAAGTTCTGCCCTCACCATTTGGTAAGTGGCTTCATTTTGTGACCTACCAACGTGACAGGCAACACCCAGGGGTGGGGGTTCCTCCCACTTTATGAGTGGGTGGATGGGCAGGGGACATCCCACGGTGGCTGTCACAGAATCTGTCACAGGATGGGCAAACCCTGGGGGGGGAAAATCAGATCTGGTGTGGAGTGACAAGCAGCTGAGTGTCCTGTGGTGGTGGTGGTGACACTGCCTGTGTCAGCCTCACCAGCAGGACCAACCTTCACCCATAGCCAGGCTGGTGCTGGCAGAATGAGACCTGGGATGAGACCTGGGCAGATCTCACCACCTGGATCTGCTGAGTGTTCCCTCAGGAGCTTCGTGTAGGAACATCCAAGAAACACTCACAGGGCAAATCTCTCCTCAGCTTCCTGCCTGGAAAACAGCTCGAGAGGCTGAAAGAGCTGCCTGGGCTGTTGGTTTTGGGAGTTTTTTTTGGTTTTGGGGGGGTTTTTGGTGGGTTTTTTTTCTTCTTTGACCCAAATCTTCCACTGTCCATGAAGTTCCATCTCGATGTGGGGAAGAAGCAGAGGTTTTATGCTCTTGATTTTTCAAGAGCGATCGCTCACACGCTTGAGTTCTTTTGAGTGGGCACGTGGCTGGTGTGGGTGTGCTGGCCCTGAGGAGGAGGAAGAGGAGGAGGAGGAGGTGGTGGTGGGAACAGAACTCTCTCTGTGCTTTCCCCAGGTGAACAGTGAATCCAAAGCCAACATCACCTGCCTCGTCTACAGCCACGATGGCTCAGGTGAGTGACCATCCCATGGCTGGGGGACATCCCCCCACCCCCCCTGTGGGACAGAGCACCCCAGGGGGGGGTCTTTCAACACACCCACCCCCTCACAGAGACCACCACTGTGTGCTCCCCACTAATTCCCATCTCTCCCATCCTACACCAGAGCTGTTGGCCAGTTACAACGACGAGGACATTTATCTCTTCAACTCCTCTCACAGCGACGGAGCGGAGTACATCAAGAGATACAAGGGACATCGTAACAATGCCACTGGTGAGGACTGGGTGGGATGGGTGTCAGGGCTTTGAGGGGGCTCAGGGGTCTCTCCCCAGCTCACTATCAAACTCCCACCACCACCACATCCCCTTCCTCAGCAGCGAGTGAAGCTTCCCCCCTACTCCTCACGCTTGCGACTGGGCTGTGTGGGGGATTCAGGAGGTGGGTGGGGGTGGGTGAGGACAACCCAGGAAAAATAATCACCATTTTTTTTTTTTAGCTGATTTCTGCAGCTCTCAGTGTTTTCATCTTCCTCACAAAGAGCTTGAAACACAACACAAACTCTTGGGTTTGTAAAGAATGAGCTATTATGTGTCTTGAGGGACGGAAAAGATCCGCGCCGGTAACCCTGGAAACTCGTTGGCTGCCAAGCAGGAAACGAATTCATGGCAGGGAGCTGCTGCCCAGCTCCTGATGGTCTCAACCTCAGCTTGGTTCTAACTCTTCTTCTCTCTTTTTTTCAGTGAAAGGTGTCAATTTTTATGGCCCAAAGAGTGAATTTGTGGTGAGCGGCAGCGATTGTGGTCACATCTTCCTGTGGGAGAAATCGTCCTGCCAGATCGTGCAGTTCATGGAGGGTGACAAGGGAGGAGTGGTGAGTCCCAACCACTGCTGCTGCTGCTGCCAGCTGTGTCCTCACCAACACCAGCTTCTGCCACCTGCCCCACATCAATTTGTTGGAGGTTTTCCTGCTTTTTCTACCCAAAAGCTTGGCAGGATTCTTGGTGCCCCACAATCTGGGGTGTTTGGCATCACTCCTGCCCCAGGGAGTGGAGAAAGGACCTTTTTTCCTGCTTTTTCTACCCAAAAACTCAGCAGGATCCTTGGTGCCCCTCGATGTGGGGTGTTTGGCATCACTCCCGCCCCAGGGAG